CATATCTGAATTACTGTTTGCACCAGTTCATTTTTCTGAAAGTACATCCAATTTCCCTCATAACCCAGGCATTCAATTGGGTAATTTCATGATGACTGTTCCTTAACCCTTTTGAAGAAGCAGCCTTTGGAAGGCCTACTAAGCCTATGTGCCCCCTAGGGATGGAGGGAAACAATGAATGGTAGTCTGTTAACTGGGCTCTTTTTTTTTTTAGTCTGCATTGTTTTTTAAGATTTATTTATTTATGCATACAGAACTGAGGTATGAGCCAGAGGGGTGGGAGGCATCACCAGAGTAGAATATGCAGATCAACAAAGCACACTGCTGAGGGGAGTGCTGGGCGAAGCAAGAGAGGTCTGCTGCACCATGTTGGTCACCTCTGGGTCCAGGGATCGAACTCACACTGCAGCGGCTATGGCTCACTTGCAGTGCAGCGTCCTAACCTGGTGTGCCACCAGGGAGGGCTAACTGGGCTCTTTTGTAGGTGTCTTTCTGATGCTAGCACCTATGTGCTACCTAAGTATGTCATTTAATTATCTTTAATTTATAACTGAAGAAATGAAAGAAACTAAGGCTATCAAAAATGCAGGTTAGTGATAAAATAAGGTTTTGGTACCAGTGTAAGAAAAATATTTCTGTATGCCTTAAGTTTCCTCACCTATGAAAGGGTCATGACAGTAATAGTATCCACTATTGTTGTGAGGTTTATTTGAAAAAAAATGTGTTTTTAACTTCCTAGTCAGTTACGGCCTTCCATATATGAGAGCCACAGTACATGTTCATTCCCATTTCTCTTGAATTTGTACCTTATTTCTATGCCCTTTGGGGCAGTTGAAGAGAAACGGCTCGCAATAAAGAGGACTGATTGCTAGGAGTGAACAGGGTTAATTAACTTTTTCCAAGAAACATGCTCCTGAAAGAAATGTATATTGATTAAACCTTTCAAAATGGAGTCACTCTTAAATAGACTGAGGGAAGTTAGTTGTGTGCCATGTGAATGATTACCCCCTCATGTATCAGTTTTGAAGGCCTTAACATACTGATTCCCATACTTGACTTTTCAACATCCTCTCTCCCAGTTATCAAAGACTAGGAACTGATAACTCCATTTCCAAAGGCAGTGCAGTGAGGCTTAAACAAGGCGGGTTACCTGTAATATCTTTTCTTATAAAAATGGTGGATTTCATTATGTTCTGGAGCCTCTGGGGGGGATTCAGAGAGTATCAGGCAGACTGGAGGGAATATAAACATACATATTTGGGTGAAGAGTAAGTAGTCCCTATGGGCTGAAAGTCATCCGGGATCCAGGGAAGGAAGGCAGGAGAATATCCATCTGGGAAACTTAAGGTGGTTTCCTGGAAGAAATTGAGAGACTGAGAGACAGAGGTGTTTGCTTCCTTTTAGGTTTTTTTTTTTTTTTCCTTTTACTTGGGGCATAACACAAAGTAATAGTCTGTGCAATAAAATATGATTACTTTCCCCCAGTCCCTCAATACCTCAGGATCACATTGAAGACTAAGGACCACCGTTGCCATCTTTGCATCCCAGCCCTTGGCACACAGCCTTCTCAACTAAAGGCTTATTAAACGAATCCTTTAGAGTAGCTAAACACAAGAATACTTTTGTTACTCCAGTTGCCACTTCACAGAGTGGGAGTGAGAAGATTTGAGGCACACCAATTTTACGATGCTGACAGAAAACTTCTTGAGGGATGGGGTCCAGGCTGGTTGTGTTCAATGTCACCTCCATAGTATGGTATTAGATGTACTCTGAACATTCAATAAGAATTCGTTATGTGAGTGCATGAAAATTACCCTTGTTCTGTCCTCAAAGTTCTCTGTCAGCGTGGATGCACTGAGAAGAGTCTTGAGACCGGATGAGCTGTCCTGGACTTCTAAGAATTCACACAACCCTTGAGCAGCCAGAAGTCAATTTCACTTCCTCAGTTATTTATTTGTAGGTGGCTGGGGGGAGGAGGGCAGGCAATGTGTCTATGCCCCCAGCAGAGACCCCCCGGAGTCAAGTCACAAAAGAAGGTAACCCAGAGGGGGGAGCCCTCCAGCACGTGCAGCTGCCCAAGGAAGGAGGAGGCTGGGCTAACGCAGCCCTTAGTCAGCAGCTGGGCTCGGTTTTGAAACAAAAGCCAATGTCCTCCCTCGGAGTCCGCGGCCGGTCAGCTCCTAGGGGGAAGAAAGCCCTGCTGCCCAGCCGGTTAGTGGCCCAACTTACTTTTCCAGAGCCCGGGACAAAGGGCCAGCACTTGTACGGAAATGGGTGGGATGTCGGTGATAGGGGATGGGGGCACAGGTCGCCGTGACCCTCCCCGCCCCGCGGCTTGTGGGGAGAGCCGGGGTCTCCCAAGCCCTAAGCATGTTTGTCCGGGCGATCCGCCGCCGAGCCGGGGCACCGTGGGTCTGCGGAATGCGGAGGCACCTTTGCAATCCGCCCCCTGCGCCCGGACACACCAGGCCCTGGTTTCATGAATGAAATCCAATCGTGTGGATATAAATAGCCGCGAAGGCTGCTAACGTCACGTTGCGAGCGGCAGCCGCCACGGCGGCGGAGCTGGGTGCGGAGCGCTCCATTCCGCCCCGCTGGCCCGCCTCGGAGCGTGGTGGGGGCAGGAGGAGAAGGGGAGGGCGGGGGTGGAAGGGGCGAGCACCTCTGCTCCAGGACGGGGAAGAGCGTCCGCGGCGCCTGGGAGCCCGCTAGGCGAGGCAGTGCCATGCTGCCTTTGTGCAAAGTTGGGCGGCGGGCGGCACGCCGCGCGCAGGGGCCCGGCACACTCGCGACCGCGCGCAGTCGTGGCTGCTGCTGAGTGGCGGGGGCCCCCCCTCTCCCCCAGTCTTGAAGGCGGAGAGAGCTCGCTTCTCGCTCGGCTTCAGGGTAGGTTCTGTGTCGTGAGTGCGCTGTGGTATGAAACTTCTTCTGCAGCAGCGGCGGAGCCCCTGCCGCCCCCGGCCCCAGCCCCAGCGGGTGGCAGGTGGGAGCCCCAGGCCGCGCCGAGCGGTCAGCACAGTCCCGAGAGAGAGAAGGGGAGAGAGAGCTGTGGGACTGAACTGCTTTGGGAGCCTCTCTCGCCTGTCTACGAGGCCGGGAACCTCACATCTGAGGCAAGCAGAAGACATTGCTAGAGCGCCCGCACAGCCGCACCCCTAACTTGGAGCTGAGAAAATGTACAACAGGCACCCTTAGCTGTCTGTCTGCGCCAGGGAGAGGGTGGTGCCGCTTTGGCAGGAGGGTTCTTTTCCTTCAAAGAAGAGCGGTGGGTAGCTGGAGGAGCCGAAAAGGGGGATGCATTATCCCCTTGGGCGCTTGCACCCCTTGAGAGTTGACTAGTGAGCCCACAGTTTGGCAGTCCCCACCCCCCAACCTCGTGTCTATGGAGTATGTTGTGAGTTGCTGTGACAACAGTAAGAGCTGACTGGAGGGGTTTGCAAAACGCCTTACCCTGTTGTCTTTGTGTGCGCAGATTTGGGGAGAACAAAGGGGTGGGGGAGATGTGCAGACAAGGGAAGTCCACCCCTTCCACAGATAAAGTGGAAGGGAAGGCACAGCTATGTAAAAATATATCATTAGATCTTACTTACTTAGCTGCGCAGTTTCTATCCTCAGCAGTACCAAACATCTCAACTGAGGAGCAATGTCAATATTTAGACTTGGACAAGCCAGAAAGTTAGAAGGGAGCGCCTAGCGCAGAGTTTTGACTTGGCTTTGCACGTCAGCACACAAGCTGTGCCTTTTGAGCTGACTGTACACATTTATAGGGCCACTGAAACACACACACACACACACATACACACACACACATACACACATACACACATACACAGAGAAGCACCCAGACCAAGCAGACCTACGAAGATCTAAGAAGTTAAGACCAGAACTCTTGCCTTGACTTTGAACTTCCCCCAGCATATGCTGTTCACAGAGTTCTGTTGAATCTTAGCCAAGTGATCAGCTTGAAGTTTCACTAGTTTGTGTCTCCTCCACTAGCCCACCCCCAACCCGGGTTGCTACATATTGTACAGTGTACTGTGTGACCTCTCTAAACTACAAAATAACAGCACTGTAATCAGTAGACTTCATCTTTGTATAAATGTCCTCTCTCCTCTCAATAGCAGTAGATAGAAATTGCCATAGGCTTGTGTTTGTCTGATGTAAGCAAGTGAGAGACTTTTTTAAATATTCACTGATGAATTCGTTTACAATGCTCTTTAGAAAATTGGAAATATATTTCTTCTCCAATAACTTTATAGATGCCTAATATAGAAAATAAACACAAGCTCTTGTCAGTATAAATTATGTCTGCATACTGCTCTGCAGGTGAACTGAGCAGTGAATTATTATAAACACGATTTCCTGGGAGATTCCTGGATCATGTTTGGATATATTAGCTGGAAAATGGTTTAATTAACTCATCCCAAGGTGGGAGACTGAAGAAGCAATAAAATCATGGTCAATATGCTTTAAATTGGCCTATCAATTACTATTTTCCTAAATTTTGAGGGTAGTGTAAATTTAAGTACATAATGTTATATGTGATCATAGAGGTAGAACTAGAAACACAGTTTGTTGTTATTAGCTATATATGACAACTGATTAACTATGTCAATATAATCTAATTGGAAAAACAGAATCATTTTGTTTTTATTATGAGAACATTGTCTGAAAGTGCTGTTTTGAAGAATGTCCATACGCCTGTATGGTTTTCATTGTTCCCATCCATGATTTGTGGCTTTTTTTTTTTTCTTGGTATCCTCAAATGCTCAGAAGCATATTTTTACAAATGCTACAAAATGTTAACCTAGCTATTTCAAGATGTGTTTGACCCAAAGAAATACCACTTTAACACTGGCACTTAGTAAAATAAAAGTAAAGTAGATTCTGCCCTTTGGGGGTGAGGAGAGAGAAAACAATGTATGTTGAAAATTTTAGTAGCTTTCTATGCACTCCTGGGATGAAGTGGGATTTATAAAGTATTTCTCTCTTTTATGTAGGTAAGTCCAGCTGCAAGCAGATTGTTCTGTTCTTCACTTCCTGCAAGCCAGGTCAGTGTCTTCATGCAAACCATGACCATAAACCATGACATCCTGTGTCTAAATCTGAGCATGTATTTCAAAATGGGTTTCTTAGCCATTTGTCTTAAAACAATTTATCTTTGCTATTTTCTGTAAGCTCAGTTATGAAGATCACAAGTTTGGTGATGATTAAAATAACTCTATGTATTCTGCAAGTATAATGGCATACAAAAATGTGCCTTTAGCCAATATTTAAGTCTTTTACAAGACTTTGGGGGGAGGGAGGCAGAATAAAAGTGGTCCCTAAACAGTTGAGGATACTGGGGACCTGGGAGCTTCATAATTAAGGTTGTTTCTATCCTAATCACTCTAGAGCCAGATAATATTTGACATAATAATAGTTGACATTTTAAGTGTGACCTGAAGTTCAGGTGATGTGCTGCATTTGTTAGATGTTCTCATTCTTCATCAAAAAAAAAAAAATTCTATGAGGGAAGACACCCTCTTAATCCCCAAAGGATCAATGAGGGATTGGAAGTACATAAAGGTTTGATATTCAATTCCTACCTCTAGTAAATAGAAGAAACATGATTTTTTTTTGTCTTACTCTAAAACCTAAATTCTCTGAAAAATTCCGCCCCAATAGGGAAACTGGGAACAAGAAAGGTTAAGTGACTCATCTAAGATAACTTGGTATTTGAAGCTTACAGAGCATGTAATGGTGCTGCTACTGCAAAAATATTAATTTTCATTCTCCTCAGTAAAACAGTGAAATAAAAAGTATTTGTGTGCACTTTATGAATGGTACTGTGAAAAAGTTTTTTTTTTTTTTAATTTTTTATCATGGGACCTTTGTTCAAGGATCTCACCAAAAGATTTAAAAGTCAATATATTAAAATATTCATATATGAAAAATTAGAGAATAAATCAAGATTATCCATGCCACAGTCTGAAATAAGAGATGAGTGGTACATTTACAAAAAGTTCACCTTTGTGAAGTCAATGAGATTACTTTGCAATTCCATGTGAGTGCGGACAGAGAATTTCCAAGTACATATTTTGCCTGCATAGATAATAAATGTGTGAGAGTTTGGAACGCAAAATGTATTTCAACCCAGCAGGGAGAGATAATGCCTTCCTCCAGAACTGAGATTACATTATCTCAAACACAAAGGTATTAATACTTCAAAAGCATTGTAACAAATTTGTAAGCTGTATCTACACAGCATCTCTGAGAAAGCATCACAATTTGGCATAATGCATAAAAGTACTGCATTCCTTTTGGAACTTCAACTTGTCTGAAATGTGCCATGTAGATAGATATGGTACATAATAGATAAATTGCAAACAAAGTTATGAAAATGACCAATTTTTTAAAAAAAGCAAGTCATTTTCAGATTTTGTGTAGATTGATAATCTTCTCTTCCCTACATTTTGTAGAATAATTTGTTAGTCCTTCTTAAGGATTATAATATAAAAATGAAATAGGGAGAAAATTCTGAGAGATAACCTTAATATGGTATCTTTTTTTTTTTTTTAATGCACTGATACCCTCAATTCGAGCTAATAGACCTAAGAACTTAGTTAAGAGATAATTGTAAGCATTTGAGGGGTTCTTATAAGCTGCCCTATAATAGTTTACATAGTAAAAGTTATTAGACAGTGTATCATTACAAATCAAATAATAAAAGCATTCTTATATTGGGAAAATCTCATTATAAGTTATAAACTCATGATAACTGATATTTGATTAACTCTGATGATGGTATATAAGAAAAATATCAATATAATAACCATAAACCTATAATTATTTAAAGAGCAAAATTATACCCTCAGTCATAGAATGTGAGTGCCAAAAGAGAACTTAGGATAGTGTAAAAGATATTTATCTATTTATCTGTAATTATAATTTACCTAATAGTCATTTGTTTGCTTTTTTGAACTTCAGAAGACTTCAGTTAATATGCTTGACTTATGGGAAAAAATTACTGGAGACATTTGAAATTTCACTTTCTTTTTGCTCAGGAGATTTACCTGACCAAAAGGAAATTTTGCAAAACAGGGATTTTTTTTTATCCTCCTATTGGACTTTCTGTTAGAAAACAGGCAGCTCCATCTCGTGTTTTTTTTTTTTAAATCCCACTCTTCACGTAATAGGATTCAAAGAATACAGATGATTTTAATCTGAATCTGGTATTCACCTTCTTTTCTCTCCTAGGCTTACCACCAACCTCACTATACCAAAACAGAACTTTAAGAGGGAAAATAAGTAACAAAAAGCTATGCATGTTGAAAGTGGCGGGAGGAGAGAGGGTATGTCAGTGGTGGGGAAGAGGGAACGAGAAAACTTTGGTGAGGAGGACAGAGACAGTCACCCAAATGGGTAGGATGTGTCTAGGCTGGTTATTTATATTCAAAATCAGAATAGTTTAGGTTTTTGATTTCTAAACAAAGTCAAACTACCCACACCATTTTCTTTTCCTAGAATGTTTTGTTCCACATGTACATAGGGTATAAATTGGGAAAGTGCCCACGGGGACTACAACTGAGATGGAAAAGGCACAAAATGATGTAAAAATAAACTATTATTAAAAAAAAATTGGGGAAAGTGGCAGATAAAAACACTGAAATGAAATGTGGATGTGACAGCTACTCTTTCCAAATATCCCAGGATGCTTCTGTCTTCAAATATTCCTTTCAGCTGTCTCATCAAGTATATCAGCATGTCTCTGATAAATTTTTATCCATGAAGGGTGAATTAGAAAGCTTTACAAAAAAAAAAAAAGAAGAAGAAGAAGTTCTAGTAGATCCAGAAGAAGAAGTTACATTTCTCCACTCAGCTTTGGAGTTGATGTACTGCAAAGACACAAGTAAATGGCAAGTTCCCGTAGTTGCGAAGGTTAAGATTTCAGGTTCTGTTCCTCTGTGGAAAGATTTGTTTTGAATTGTCACTGATCCATAGTCCAGATATTTTATGATCACTGGAATAATACTAACCAGCTCTTCTTATGCTCCTTCTAGATCCCCAACATTTAAAGCATTACAGCTAATACTAATTATCACTCCCAGTGTTACAAAAGCAAACAATGGCACATTGGTATAAATAAAAGAGCTAATAGGAGCTCCTTAGAAGGTAGAGCGTGGATTTGTACCCATAACTGCCTAAGAACTTGAATATATATTTGTTTGAAATGAACCCCTAGGGAGGGGAAAGAAAAAAAAAAAAAACACTAAACCATTTTATTCCAGGCTACTCTTGCAGATATTGAAATATAGGGATTGAATAATTATTTTGTGGGTTTTGTATTTTATGTCCTTTTAACTATATAGCAGGTTTGCCTGGACATATTTGTTGACTTTTCTAATATATTCATTTCCAATATATATTTTTTAAAGATTTATTTATTTGTGCATACAGAACTGGGGTACAGGCCAGAGGCTCAGGGGCAGCTATAGAAGCTTCACCAGAGACAGAGTGGGGAGCAGAACAGGCAGATCACTGAAGTACACTGCTGAGGGGAGCAGCGGGCGGGTCAGGAGAGGTCTGCCAGGCCATGTGGTCACCTCCAGGGCAGGTGGGAATTGAACTCAGAGGAAGTGGCTTTAGCTTCTTAGTGCTGTGCTTTAACCTGCTGCACCACCAGTGAGGGCCATTTCCAATATATCTTGATGCAAATCACAATCTTAAAAAGTTGAGTCATGGGGGTTTTGAATCATGGAGCCAGAAAGATCTTTAAAGATGCATACTTGATCCAACCCCATGTACAGGTGTAAAAAAATTGCCACTCAGGGACTCAATATTTTAACTCACCCACTCTCATAGTTAATAAGTGACACAGCAGGAACTGAATCCAGGTTTACTAGTCCCAGCCCAGGGCTTGATTCTATTGCTTACTTCTATTCATAACTCTTCCTGAAAAGTGCCAGTGTCTACCACTCCAACTTAGCCAAAATACAATCATCAAGTAGGAAATGAGACCTAAGGAACCCTAAGGAACATCCAGAAATGGGTGCTAAGAGAATTCCAGCAGTGTAAAGACTTGGGAGGTACCAAGGGAAACCCAGCTTATCTGCACTAATGCCCGAGGGAATAGCTCTTTCCTATTCCTCAGAACCTAATAGCCCATGGCAAGCTTATCTTTGTTAAGGGATCAGTTTTAATCTGGTATGGGGCTTTTCAATTTTGTCTGTGAAGCTTTGCTTTCTATTAGGTGTGTTACACAAGTGAAATACTTTTCTGGAGCTCACTGTACTCCTCTGTAAAATGGGGATGGGTGACCTCTTTCAGGAAATTATGAGGCTATGCAATCACACAAAGCACACATTTGGGTTAGCTGAGGCTATGCAATCACACAAAGCACACATTTGGGTTAGCTCTCTTCTTAGCCTCCCTAGAGTATCTCCAGGGAAAATGTTATAACACATTAGGGTAGACATATCACTTTATAATCACTGAAATTCTGATATAGCAAGGGATGGTTATGGTAACCTTTTAAAATTTTTAAAAATATTCACCTATTTTTGCATACAGAACTGGGGTGCAGGGGTGGTGACAGGATCCACCAGAGACAGAGTGTGGAGCATAACAGGTTGACTGACAAAGTACACTGCTAAGGGGAGCAGCGGGAGGGTCAGGAGAGATCCACCTTGCCATGTGGGTCACCACCGGGGCCAGGGATTGAACTCATGCTGAAGTGGCTTTGGCTTCTTAGTGCTGTGCTTTAACCTACTGCACTACCTGGTAACATTTTTTTCTGGGTTAAAACAGACATGATGGTCTCTCCAAGTACCAATGGTCCAGTCACAATTACACTTGTTTTCTTCACACTCTAGAGGTGTCCAGGTTTTACTTGAATTACATTATTGCATCACCTTCTGCCACAAACTAATACAAAGTTACTCTGGGAAATATGGAGCTCTCATTTCCTTCCAAATACTATTTCAGTGTCTAACACACTTTCCACATAGACCTTTGCATCTCAAAGCAACTACTTTATTTTCAGGTAAGTAACTAAGAAATATTTCCTATG